TATCTATCTATCTATCTATCTATCTATCTATCTATCTATCTATCTATCTATCTATCTATCTATCTATCTATCTATCTACATAATGTATATCATATATATCTACATGGTCCATGTTAGCACATAACCATCTGATCCTCTTCCTCAGAATCACCGGAAGTACGTCACTGTCTTTGGCACCGTCTGCTGTACCGCCATACCATAGACCTAGCGCTAATTCTCTGAACATCGCCACCACTGTCAGCGGTACCGCCATCACCATAGACCTAGCGCTAATTTCTTGAACATCACCACCACCGTCTGCTGTGCTGCCATCACCATAGACCTTGAACGTCACCACCATCATCATCTGCCGCCGGAAGCAGTGAGTTCTTGTTCAGAAAGTCAGAAATACAAGTTGTCTTCAGCGTTCGTGGGAGGGATACTACCCGTCAGTTTTCACACCTTCTTCTGGACCCCCACCGGACATTCTAGAGTCGTCTTTGGAAGTTTCACGTTGCGGAGGGCAGAATTTTATACGAGTAATTTTTTTTCTAAAATCGGGAACTTCCGCTTTGAAGAGATGTGACGTTTTGCAGAGAGTTGAGATAAAAGACAGGCAGCATGGAGCTTTGCGTGTGTCTGAATTAATCGTGCGAGAGGAAAGAGAATCCTATCCATATCATGAAATTATGACGACGAATTGGAATATAATGCCTTCGATGGAGTTTGACGACTGGTGGATTTTGAGGAACGGAGAGTGAGGAAGATAGAAAGAGAGACAGACAGACAGACAGACAGGCAGTGACAGAGAGAGAGAGAGAGAAGGTGGCAGACGATTTCTTCAGTCGTCCCTCACGAGAGCCCAGTTCTGCGTGATCCGGACATTTGCTTGAGTGTGTGAGACATGAAGATATCAGTAACTGAGTGGACACTCTTCTTCATTTCCTGGATCCTGTGTTTTACAGGTAAGGCATTAGAGGAAGGATTTACCTTTTTCAATTGTAATAACAGTTTTATATTTTTTACAACACAAATAGGGTGTATAAATTAATGCCAAAGATTAGAGGTGTTATTAGAGAACGACATATCTTGTCAGTATGTTAGCGGTTAGCGTCTTAGCGCATATATAAATGGCCGCTTGCACTGTATGCTTACCAGGAAGTTGAGATTGTTTCAGAATGCTCTCAAGATTGTTTCAGAATGGGTACCCGGCTATAGACAGCGAAAGATCTTGTCAGTTTGTTAGTGTTTGAGCGCTTAATCAGCTGCTTGCACTGTATGCTTCCCGGGAAGCTGACAATGTTTCGGAGTGTTCTTTGGTCTGCTGGGGTAATAATATAGTG